CCCAACACTCTCATTGCACATATTTTCACATTTCCAATTCTTTTCTGCCAACTTTTCGTTTTGGGTGTTTTTTTGTATACCCTGTAATCGCTGAGCGCGGGTGTATATGCGCTAACAATTTTGTTGTTCTGCCAAGAAAGTTCTTAGCTGTGATTTTGAGTTGGAAATTAAAAAAAATGAAAAGAAAACAGGAAAATGTTTGAAAATATTCGAATGCTAACGATATGCCCGAACACTCGAACATTTTCTGGCACCCTTTTCACTGTATATACTTCACAATTTGCAGGGTATCTCTTAGTACATCCCATAGCACACTCGCACACATTTTTTTTGTGCTGTTTATTTGCTTTACTGTGGTTACAATTGCTGTCTTTACTTTTTTTTTTTTGGTCCCGCTGCTGCTGCTGCTGCTGCTGGCAAATTAGTTGTATTTGGGCATTTGGGCCTCAGGCCTTGGACCTCGCTTGGTCGGGTGGGAGATGAGAGGAGAGGCTGATGAAAGTTTTTGTTTGACACTTTCTGGCATAAGCCTCGACCACATGCGACATGCAACAGCAGTGGGAGCAACTCGAGCAGCAGCAACACCAACATCGACAAGGACAGTGACAGTCTGGCTGTGGGTTCGGTTGGTGCCTCTCTCGCTCTCTCTTAAACGTCCTTCGTTGAGCCTGCTGCTGCTGCTGCTGCTGCAGCACTTAATCCGCTTAAACGTTAAAAGTGCTAATAGTTTTTCATGTTGCAACTTGCAACCCCCCTGACTTCTTTACGGTGCAAATGGCCAAAGGGGGGTTGGGAAAACAAACCCACCACCAGCAAAAGCAGCAAACAACATCCAAAAGGGAATAGTGTCTGTTCGGGGGGTGAAAGGTGTTAAAAGGCAATAATTTATATGCTTAGAATTGTCATTTGTTGATGGTTCTTGGACCTACCCTGGCATGTCCCTAAACTCGTATTTGCCTGTTTATTTGCTTTACTCTCATGCGGTAATTGCGATTTGTTTTGAGGTTTTTCCCTTCTTAGTGCCAAATAATTACGTATGTACATATGTAGGGGGGTTCTTTTACGCCTCGTCGACTTCCACAATCCGCAGCTAATTCGCAGCTCAATTATAGTTTTCTCCTCCCCCGCATGGCGAATCGTGCCACCCCCATGCCCGGTCATCAATCAAATATAGATCCAATAAAATCGCATATGTGCGGCACGCCCCATCAAAAATCAAATAAAGGACTGCCCTAAATTGTGTCCTGCTCCCAATTAAACGGAATGAACGGGATTGGCTCGGCATGTGATTGCCATTTTGCTGAATTATTTACAAAACTAATTGCATGCGGAGCTCTGAATCAATAGT